GTTTATTTGGCTTATTACTAAAGGTACATTGTGTGTTTATTATTTTAGCAGTCGCTTTTAAAATATTATTAGTTAAAAGTAGTTAATAATTTTTTCGTTTCTTTCTACAGATTGGTTAACAAATGGGGGAGATTGGAAAGTTAATTTTAACCCTAACGATGACTACATGGGATGTCTGCATGGGTATCCTTTCTGAATTTGGTTTTCATTCCACACATGTCATTCATGGAACCTTATATTCCACAGTTAATTCAGGTAGTAATACATAGTTAAATTAATGTTAATTACTCTATCAATTATTAATCTAGCGTGAAGCAGTGTTAGGCAAAATTAAACTATTAGACATTTAACAATTAATTAATTGTTAAAAGTTATTATTATATGAACAGCGTAGTTGCGTTAAAGTTAAAGTGCAAGTTATGAATAAAGTAACTAGGTATGTAACAAATATACCTAAGAATTTTTTCTTCGTTTAATTAAATTTAATAAGTTCAATTTTTATATAAATAATTTCTTAATTTAAGTTTAATTTTTTCAATTATTTCTTAGTTCAAGTTATTTTTATCAATCAGATATCAATTTAAATTTAACATTGACAATTACATTTTAGTAATCATTCCTAATAATATTTTATTAAGGTTGCATTTTAACACCACCCTCTCCTGAAACATATTGCCTGACAATTTATAACTCTGTGAATTGTGAATTTCACTAGAAATTACAGTGTCTCCCTGTATCAAAGCGAGATAATTGTTCTTTAAGACAAAAAAAGTTAAGTGCAATTGATTTAATTGCAAGATACAGTTAATATAGTTGAATAACTGTAGCAAATGTCTACGTCATTAAGTCATTAATCCTCTTTTAATCTACCTTATACATAATAGGGTATAATATAGAAATTAGTAAAAGAGAACAATCTATTAAATATATGCATTTTAATACAGCACTGGCATTTTTACTATTCATAAGAAAATTACAAAATTATTTCGACAATATTTTGATTATCCAAAGCAATTAAATTCTATATAATTTTTCCCAATCTCTAACAGTAAAAAACCAATTTCATATA